ATTTAAACCAACTGGCTATAAACAGAAGCCTTGTATTTCTCATGAAGTCCAAGATGAGAACAACTAGAAATCCACAGAAGAAAAAGGAGATATTTTCCAAAGGCATATGACATGGAATAATTTTACGGATTAAAAAAAAAGTTGAAGCAGGAACCAATTCACCAAGTTGTTGGCTTAGGGGATGCCAAACCAAGTAATGTGAAGGGCGCTTGCTTCTGTAATTCTAGCAAGCCGTATAATGACAACTACTACTATTATTATACGCCTCAATCTCAAACAAGTTGGTGTCAATTGTATGAATCCTCACCGACCCTGTTTATCCAATTATATTCATCCCAGGTCAACATCATGCAAAATAAAAATACAAATAAAATGTATTAGAGGTTCTCTATATTTAACTGGCAAAAAAAACTACACAGGGCTAGAACACTCCTAGAAAGCCGTATAATCATAGCACAAAAAATATATATTATGTGCACAATGAGATCATCCAAAACATGCATTATTACTGCAACTTTATGGACTTCAGACAAGAAAAAGACTGACAAACAAATATAGGCCTCCTAATCTCAAAATAATAAAGGATATCCATATGCCAAGCATTCCACCATTATACATATGAAATGTATGCATCATTAACTCAAAGCACAAGCCGACTCCACGAGACCAAACCTTTTATTGTAATAAGTTTGATTTTTCTCTCTTCTCGACATTCCGCTTGATACAAAGAGTAATTTGGTCTTACGATTCAAACCAGCTCGCAGAAGATTCTTCAGATGTAAAGGAAGCCTAAAATGAGAGTAGCCACATAGCTTCTGTCTCATTCTTTTAGCTGATTCAGCAACTCTCTTAACATCCTCAAGCATGTTATAATCTGCCAAAAGAAAAAGTTTCAAAAAGCATTCATCAATTGGGAAAAAAAAACAGCTTCCAAAAGCATATCATAACAGAAGAAGATTTTCACCATTGTTGAGACTTCTTCCCAACTAATGGAATTGCCAAAGGCTCATTTAAGGCACGCTTAAGCCTTGAAGCTCAGAAAAGCTAGAAGAGGTCACTTTGCCTCGCTAAGTTGCACTTCAGTGTAGGCAAGGCACTAAGGTGTGCGTACTCATTGCGCACGAGTTCTATCTTGAATCAAGCGGTACTAAACAACAAATATAACAGGCAAATAAGTTCATTAGTTAAGAAAAACATTATGAATGAATTTGTTACTTTTTCTTAAGTCTTAAATTACATATATATTTTTATTTTTATTTCCCATCATGCCTTTTTTTTTTTTACTAAAGCCCACACTTAAATTGACCTTTGCAGTTATAGCCCCAATAGACCTAGAGAGCTTTTTAGAGCTTTTCGCCAACACGGACAACGAACTAATGCCTCCTCATAGGCAGAAAGGGAGCTAGGATTTGAAGCTTATGGGTTCGGAATTCTAGTCCGTTCAAGTTACGTCTAAATTACTAATTTATACATATTCAATGGATTTCTTAAGAAAAATACAGGATTTTGACCAAAGTTACTGGGTTTGGCCGAATCCGTAACTCTTATGCTTGCTCCGCCCTGCTCATAGGTGAAATAGATAGATCCCACAGAAAGAAGCATATTTACAAGACTGAATGGGACGTTTCACATAAAAACTCTTAGTGAAACCTCCAAATTGGAAAAAAAAAGGCATTTAAAAAGATTAATAAAACTGGAATGAATAAACCTATCATTGTCAAAGGGAAACTAGCTTATTACACAAACTTCTTATAAACTTGACCTTGCTCAACTTTTGGAGGGAATTTTTTTTTTTTTAAGTACTTTGGAGCAAAAGTAAGCAGCATGCCAAGGGTTCCACTTTGGCGGAAAAAGAAAAAGATTAAAAAGAAAGAAGAAAGGGCCTGTGAAACCAAACTATCAGGTTCCCATCGCAAAGCTTCCAATATTTTCAGTAACAACTTCCCTTTTACATCTTCTCCACCTATATTAACAATTTCAGTAACTCTTTTGCACTCATGTTACTACGGCAAGAATATCTTCAACCTTGATGAAGCAAATACATCCTACCGAAGCAGTAGCAGAGCCAGAAATTTATACATGGGGATCCAAAAAGAATCTGGAATATCACAATTGGGATTTGAATGTATGACCTAAAGCAACTTTTGAACCCCATTTACCACTACACTTGAACTTCTTGTCGTGCCAAGGGGATTCAAAGTGAGACTGAATTTAGAAATTATATTGTATAGACTTTCATGCAAAAAGCAAACATTCATAAAGGCAACGAGTTTCAGAGAAAATCCTAAGCAATCATAACAAGTACAAAAAAGGGAAAAAAAGAAACTTCAACTACAGAGGATGAAAATTCACTATTAAGAGTAAGATATAAACCTGATAAAAGGATGTTATCGTTGAATTGGGACAAAGGGACGACATCAGTGAGCGATCTTTTTCCAGTACAGCCAGTTCTTTCCTTGTGGGATTTGACACAAGGAAGGCTACA